GACCACATTGCATTATGATTAATACTATACATAAGTATAAAACATATTTATTTTGTTTCTTTTCGTATTTCCGAGTTTCAGAATTCAAACTTCAGTTCCTCTTCTTTGCCCCGACCGACACAACGACGCTCGTCGCCGTTTCTTTTTACCCAAGACAAACCGCACCAAGTCACGGTGTCCGTCCGTTCACTCATAAATGTTTGACCTTCTCCCAGTGGTCGTGGTCGTCGGCAGCGTAGCCGACACGCATTTCCTGCAGGCCTCCATCACCAAACATTTCGATCAAAATAATTATTACGATATTTTAATATTATATATTAAATACACATACGAATTTAACTTGACGCCCACAACAGCTCCCGCGAGTAAGGTTCCCGAGACTAGGATTTATATTACGACAACTTACATCCGGTTGTACACGGTCATGCCAATCCCGCAAGTCGAATTTCTAAGGTTATTCGGTATATTATTTAAACTTTATACGATTGGAGCACGCTGAATACCAACCAGAGACGATAGTTTCGTTTGAAAAAAACTATTTGGTTTCGACCTCGTTAACTTCAAACAAAACGTTCGTTTAACATTCAGTGTGATTTGTATTATGTGTCATATTATCGTTTATACGAGTCTGCTTGTCGGCTTCCTAATGATTTCGCATTGTTCTGCATTGTTCAATATTAATAATATCTTAACAATTATTATTCAAATTCATTTATGCTTAGCGTCCACTACTTTATGCAATATAATACTGATATCAATATAGATTTATTAACAGTTTACTCATTTTTAAATCTTAGATATAACTGCTTTTATTTGGTATTTAATTAGAGCTAAGGCTAATGTCGTCAACATACAAAAATAAACGTACCCTGCAATCATTCGTCTTTAATAATTACAATTAATTATTTGATTTTATACCAATTTGTCTAAATTAAAAAAAAAATATAAGTAATATAGTAGGGCATATAAACTTTTATATTAAAACTGTTAGCCTTAGATTTTGTATTAATTAAAATAATTTTAATATATACATACCTATCTACCTACCTAATTAATTTATTATTAATGCTTGACTAATTAGAAAAGCAATCCGAAAAAAATCTGTTGAATCTCCAAAGCAATCTGTATCTATTAGACCTCACTTCTCAAGAATTGAAACTTACATGATGTGCACCAAAATATATGAAAAAATATTTCTAGTAAATTATTACAATTATGATTTTTTTTTTTTTTAAATATTCCTAGTAAAAATTCTTTATTAATATAAATACAAAATAGTGATTACCTACCTAATGATAAAATAATATTTTATAATCTTAAAAATCTGAGTTTCACCGAAAGTATAATAGGAAAAAAACGCGATACTACAAAACAATTGTTCGTTGAATTATATTTATTTTAGTCACTTTCTCAAATC